GTGCTGCGAGAATCTAGGAGTGAAGTTGCTGGATAAAACATGTCAGATTACTACCAAGAACAGTGTTTTGAATTTCCCTTAATCCTTTTTCAAAAAATATGCTGGCAACTATTTATTGTAGATGGTTTTATAACGACTGCAGAAGTTTAAATGTAAAATAGCAACATTTTTATCAATGTTTTTTAATGTGAGGCCCAAGGAAGAATTTCAAATTGACCATTTTTTCCTTTTTTTGTAAAAGGAGCTCTGAAGTGCCTTTTAGAGTTAATAAAACCAAGTCGAATAAATTGCTGAAAAGCCTAAAAGTGAAAAGAAATAAGCTATATCTGAGAGACCCCTTATTATCTGTGTTCAGATCCTGGAGCCGCTGAATGCTGGTCTCTGTTGGGAGCTGTGAGGTAATGTAGCTCTCTGCCAAAGCAAGCCTGCCGTTCCCGTGCGCGGCTGGGAGGCGAGCACCCACCATGGGAGGGCGAGTGAGACGCTTGGAGTAGGATGCAGTCCCTGCTTCTTGCAGCTTTTTAGTGCAAAAATGCTGTGCGCTGTGAAAAGCTGAAACTGGTGAGCACTTTTCAGTAGGTAGCCCTTCATGTGGGAATGGGAGGAAAGTCAACGGAGTTAACCCATTTCACATCATCTTAAAGCCATTCTACCATCAGCTTCTGAGTTGTTATGGAATGTAGTTATGTCAACAGAGATGGAAAAACTCCTACGCAAAAAGTGCGGGAAATCACATTCTTCCCCACAATTGCAGTTAAAGAAACAGAAGACCAGAAGGTACCTGCCTGACCATAGTCCAGTTGCCATCTGTTCTCAGGTGACTGTGTTGGTGTCCCGTTGTATGCTTATCCAGCTCTGTTTGTAAACCAGTTATGACTCTTTCCTTTTTTTTTTAAGCCACTTCTTTCTGTTTATATCTCAAATTTATTAATGGCCAATTTATACCATTAGTTCTTGCCCCTTTATCTTAAATAGCTTTTCTCACTCCACAGTATTTGCAAGCCTGATGTATTTAGCAACCATGAGCTGCTCAATCTTCTTTTTGCAAAGATGAACACATAAAATATTCTCTGTACTCAGAAGGGAAGCGTTTCCACATCCATTCTGTTTTGAAATTGTCTGTCTGGGATTTGAATGACTAGAATCGCATTTGGCATGTTAGATGAATTCTGACTAATGCTTTGATGCAGTAGTGCTAATGTTAGTAATAGCTGTATTAGGTTAGGGGCTGGGAGTTATCGTGTGTTTTAGTACTGAAGAAAGTTCTCTACATCTCCGTCACTTGCAGTTGATGCCCCCAATTAGCAGAAGGTGGTCATCAAAGAAACGATTTTTCTTTCTCTGTATCACCCCTTTTCCCTTCTCAGTCATCTGGTTTTTTTAATATTTCTGTTTCTCCCTCTAGTTTGACAATTCTTAGCATTATCTTTGCATTTTCCCATAACCTCCTGCATTTGTTTATTACATAATTTTTCTTAAGCTGGGTCTTAAAGCCAGTTCTTGAGGAACTGTTAGTAAACTTCCTTGGTGGTAGGCAGTATGACGTGATCTCTTGTTCAACTGGTTCTTTACCTATTTCAGTTCTTACGCTTCCCTCTGTTTAACAGTAACATCCTATTTAGCATCATAAAATGCTTTGCTGAGTCCACATAGATTAGCTTCGCTGCTTTTCCTTTTGACGGACAAATCAGAGAAGGATCTCAGTTTTTCTGACATGGGCTACCTTTTGGTAACCTCGTGTTGAGTTTTATCATGTTTTCTTTTTAATTCTCTTTATTTTCATATTTAAGAATACTCACATTTTACAAACATTTTAAGGTTCTATTTTCCATGCTGTCGGCCATCCTGTTACCTGATGCCTTGTTTATTCCTACTTTAAGTCTGTAATAGTCCGTATAATATATTGGAGAGCCAGTCTGTGACTGTTGGAGCAAAAAGTACTCATGAAGCAGGCTAAATTTAGATACTTTATATGAGAAAGTTTGAAAAAGTAATAGCATTGAGATATGAGTAACATCTTTGTGTGAAATAAGGAGCTTGTCTGATTGGCTTGAAAGCTTCAGGATCAGCACAATGTGGAAGGAATCGCTCTGAGTGGTAAATTGATTTGTCCCTTTAGAAACAGAGCGGAATGGGATGGCACGTTGGGTGTATGGTAGAAAGGAAAGGTCATTCCTCGTTTATGGAGAGTCACCTTCCTGCTGGATGAGAGAGAAGGTTCCGCTTTTTATTTTATAATGTCATTTTGGCCTAAAAGTTAGGGGGAGACAAGACTGGGAAATACTTGGAGGATTCAAGTAGTGACTGAAACAGTGGGGGTTTTTTAAAAATTACAATTCGGCAATCTAATTTTTACATGCCTAGCTGATCTATTAAGAAGAAACATGATTTCTTTGAGCTTGACATCATAGTTTAAAAATATCGTTCCTTTTTATTAAATGTCAATATGTATTTTGCCGAACTAATTATCATTCCAACCACTAAATACAAACTTCCTTGCCAAAGTAAGATAAAATTTCTGTGTAAATGATGTGGATGCTAGAGAATTATCTGAAAGAGAGGACAAAAATTGTTTAATTACTGTACAGTGATAAACCTATTAGTGTTGTCCCATTTGGATGGGAATTTCTGCATGCTACTGTAGTGAAAACATCAGTAAAAGAATATTTGTGTATTGAGAAATTGTGCATTTTAGCTGTCAAGCTTGACTTATTTGGGGAGGAGGGAGGGAGATTACCAGCTGCTACTTAGCTAATTAGAGGTCTTCATCCAAAGAAAGACCAACCAACAACAAAAAACAAACCACCCCCCAACATATTTACCAAACTTCTTTTTTGAAACAGAGAATGATACAGTATTTTTGTAAATTTTGAGTATGAATAGCTGGCTTGTTGGTCTCTGAGCTTGCCTAGCAGTTAAGAATCATTCTTTATCTGTCCCATTAAGACCGTATTATTTTACAGAACAGTGGGTGGTATCTAATTTTACCCTGGTATTGCCCAACTCTGAGCAAATTCTTACTGACATTGTAAGATGTAAGAAATATCAACAAACGTTTTCTTGAATGATTAATTCTATAGTTTTTTTTTTAAGTCAGTGTCCTGCCCCCCAAAGCTCTGATATGCTGGGACAGAGTATCCAGCATTCGTTGGTGATACTTCTTGATATTACAACCCCACTAACACAAAAAGCCTTTGTTTTCCAGGAACCTTTTCCTTTTAAAGCAATTGAACTGCCTTGCAAAGTTCTCCCTGCTTAATTGTTCTGGCTTGTTAAAGCTCGTGCCAAGGCTGAGGTTATCTCTGACCGTTCAGGGAGCCGATGGTGGTCGGCGACTCGGTGGCCCCTGGCACCGGGGGGGCCTGTCGCTGTGCTGGGGACCTTTGAGAACGGCTGTGTGAAAGTGGGGTGGTCTTGTCAGAAGAATAAACAAACCTGTTATATCTTTGTGTTGTCTGGTGTTAAACTTGCTGGGTTTTGTCTCCAACAGCTACATCCCCTCGAGTTTCCTCGGAGCTCGAGCAGGCCCGGCCTCAGACAAGTGGAGAAGAGGAACTCCAACTACAGCTCGCGCTGGCGATGAGCCGGGAAGTGGCGGAGCAGGTCAGTTCCCGTGTAGGTTTTCCAAAATGTCCATACTTTGATAGTAGAGACTACAATCCTGTTTGGTGTTTTTTTTTTTTTCAATGGCAGCTTGGCTTTGCTCCAGGTGGAAAGGGGGAGAGAAAGGCCATTTTGGAAGATGTTGCTCTTCTATATTTTAAAAAAAATTTTTTTTTTTAATCTCTTTTTAAAGTAACTGCAGCCTCCGAGCTGTTGAGACTAGTGGAAGATGACAGTCACTTTGCAAGAAGACTTTGTGTGGGAGGATGTTAATCATCACATTACTGAAGGTGTTTTCAGTTAGGAAGAACTGAAAACATGACTAGTCCTGAAAAGCTTCATTAATGGGGCCAGTATAAGAAATGTCAGTGAATTCTGATTACAATGAAATTTTGAATGATCTGCTCATTCGGTGAGATTGTTTGGAACAGAAAGGTGACCTGACACAAAGTACTAGAATTTATAAAGAACCTGGTTTAAAATAACTTGGCTCCTAATCTGTCACACAGGTTATGTTACTGTGGTAATTCTTAGGAGGTTCATTCTGAATTTGGAGTAAATTCTGTAATTGTGGATAAAGTTTACTGCATATTGATATATAACAAAGTTGTTGAATCTCAGCTATGAGTGAAAATTCAAGTCAGCCTGCTGAGTGTCTGTAATACTTTAGAGGCTTCCTGTGACAATTTTAGCTTACTGCTGTATGTTAGACATTGGTATCTCTGTGCTTGGAAAGGGAAACTATCACCCAGTAAACTTTGTCATTATTGAGCAATAAAGTTAAAGAAAATAAAAATCAAAATCTATCAGTTGAAATAGCTTAAAACATTGCAAGGGAAATACCAGCTGGGGAATTAGTCAACTTCTGAAAGACGTGATGCAAGCAAAGATATTTAAAGTAGTTGAACGTACCACAAACATGGTAGTTTACAGATGTTAAAAACCTATAAAATATGCATGGAATTGGCTAGATTAATTCACTTAGCATTCTCTATAACAGTTGCATCAGTTGTGGAGGGAAGCTGACAAAAGCCAGGAAAAGTAAGGTTTAAATCACTATGTCCTTCAGCGGTGATTTGAATGTTCAAAAACTACCATAATATAATGATGGGATATTTACTGTGTCTTTCATTTCTGTGGTGTTTCTAGCATTGTAACTGAATTTTTGGAAAGAACGTTTCATTTATACCTTTCCCGTTAGGAGTAAAACAACGCGAGGGTAAATATCAGTCAGTGAAATGGATGTTATGATCACACTGTTGCACTGGTATTACAGGGTCAGGGTGCTCCTGACCTCTGTTTGAGGCAAGAATCACGAGAAATTTTTTTTTCCCTCACTTGTGTTATGTACAAGTTACAGCAAATAATCCTGGCAATCCCACTGCGCGTGCCTGTGGTGCACATCACTCCTAGGGTGGCAGGGAGTACTGCCCAGGCCTTCCCTGGCAGTGTCCTGCCAAGGGGGCTAGACACCTGGAGGGAGCAAGCAGCACAGTCTAGGCTAATGGTCTATATCAACAGTGTTGATTTCCTTTGCAGGAGGAGCGCCTCAGACGCGGAGATGATCTGAGATTACAGATGGCTCTGGAGGAGAGTCGCAGAGACACAATTAAAATTCCCAAAAAGAAGGAGGTAGTGCCTTCGACTAAGAAATTCCCGGTTATGCTGCCAAAAGCTGAAATACAGTAACACAAAATAGCTTAATACTGAGCTCTTTTATGCTTTTGGGATTGCTTTGTTGTATATCTTAAAGCTTCTTCCATGCGGGTTAAATTTCAAACTACTAGTCAATGCAGGTGTGTAAAAGGAAAAAAAAAAAAATGCTTCTTCACTCTCATGGGTTTGTACTTCAGATTGGTAATGCTCTTGATTAAAGCTCAGATTATTCCTGCCCTCAGCATACCACTTTGTTGGACCTAATGGATGCCCTGCCCTCGTCGGCACCGGCCCCGCAGAAAACAGAACCTTGGGGACCTCCCGCTGTTGCAAACCAAACTGATCCCTGGGGAGGATCCACAGTTGCAGCCACTGCCTCTGACCCATGGCAATCATTTGGTAAGAATAAACTGCCAGAAGGAATGCTTATTTAAAAGTTTTTGCTAAAAAGCAAAAACTTTGAGCTTTTTGAAGTTTCTCAACGTACAGTGTCATGCTTGATAACGACAGTATATTAGTCCATTTTGATTGTTTCCCGTACTCTAGAACTAACGTTCCCCTAACTCATTTCAAGCAGAAACAAATGGAAGTTGGACTCTGCTGCTGCTTTTTAAGCAGCTGGGTTTTTGTGCTTGCGTTTTGAATCTTAAGGAAGAGGAGAAGAGTGAAGCTTCTGTCATCTTTGTACAGCAAAACCAACTTGTTTCAGACTGGGGGGATGCTCACGCTTTGACTGCTAGTTGTGCCCAGTGTCATGGGTTTAGAGTCTTGCCGGTATTTGATATAGTACTTAGGCAGGGTGCTATGGTTAGGAAGGCCATAGATTTGAATTACCATGTCTTCAGCTGCTCCTAGCGAAATGTGAAATGGGATGTGTATACCATCAGACCAAATGGATTAAATTGTTTAAATAGAGATTTTCATAGTAAACAAAAAAATTGGGGTTACCATTTTAAATATTCACCGTGTTTCATAAGCTTTTGATGCTAAATTCATGGAATCTGTTTCTGAAGTGAAAGATCCAGTGCTTCACATCTTAAAGAGCAGTTAAGTCCACTTCTTTGCTTGTTTGTTTTTGCGTGTGTGTTTTGCTGCCTGTGTAGTGTGCTGTTTTCTAGGTTAGCCGAAATCTGTCTGAGGAGTTACTCCTTTGCATAAGAAAGTTAATGGTTCCTCACAGTATGTGTTAAACTTGCTACATCTGTGGAATTGGAGCTGGATCTATTTTTTTTTGTTGGCTTTGGATTTTTTTCTTTTTTGAGGAGGCAGGGGGTTTCTGTGCAAATGGAAGCTTTTTCCTGAAGACTAACAGCTTAGTTCTGTCAGTTTTGCTTCAGGCTGCTGATTCTATGACCTCTGCTATGAAATGCTTCAGAGGAATTTGTATTGGCATTCAGTGCACCACCATCGAGATTCCTGATGAAAATGTTGAAGTTTAATAATGAAATGCATTTTTTTTCCTCCTCGTGGTGGCATTAGAGGCACCTACATAGCTGCTGGGCCAACTACAGTTCATTGTTCTAAGTGTAATCTGGGGTTTTTTTGGTGATAAACTGCAAGCATGAAATCAGAAAAAGTCCCAAGTTCTGGGCCCTAAGGCTGTTCAGTGTATTTTCCCGTGGTTAAAAACCAAACAGGATCCACCTTTTTCAAATCTTGTGCTCGATATATCATCCTCTGGCAAGATTCTCCTTGCATCAGTTGCAGCTGTAGCATTTCTTCTCAGTGGCTCCCAACTTTCTTAACGCCGTAGAACAACCCCTTGTTCCAGCTTGCTGGTTACTTGGCTCCCAAGGGTATTCTTGAAGATGTAAGATTTATGAATTTGACTGCTAATAAAAGTGACTCATTAAACTGTATTTCTCAAATCCTGCATGTGCTTTGGCATTTCAGTAGAGATAATGGAAGCTATGGGAAGGTATCTTCCCAAGTGCTCTAATTTTGTGCGCTCTCTTTATGAAAGAAAAGACATTTTTGAAAGCTTCCATTTATGGGAAGTGCTGTCATTAGCACTTCTTGTGTGGCATTGCTCGTAACTCAGCACTAAGGGTAGACAAAGGAAATGTAAATACCGGTGTGGGAATAGTTGGACTTGGAGAATTTTAGCATTTCCTGGTCCGAAGCTGTAGCAAGACCATGCCGCCCGTTGACGAAACAAAGACCAACACTGCAAATTAGAATTTGTGCCACTGTGTGTAGCATTGAGTTGGTTTTCAAGAATATTGTGATGTCAAGGGAGTTTGTATGTAGTTTTAAAAAACAAAACAATATTCAGCTGTAATTCTTTAACCCACGTGCTGGTTAAAGATAATAGCTGTATACCGCATGGGTAATTCTGTCCTCCTCTTGGATTATACAGTTGTTCTTATTTAGTAATTAAACCATGACTGGTTGAGAAGTTTCATTGGGAAGAGGAAATGTGTTTGCGTGTACTATCTGACTTGAAGGTAATTAATCAGCGTAGAGTTGTACAGGATATGCATTTAAAGTACTAGGTTCCCATTCCTGCACTCCAATGGCCGGGGAGGGGCAGCGGGGATGGACGACATAGGAACAAAGCAAGAGAGAGACCTTCCAACACAGACCTGGCCCACTGCAAATCTGAAATGTGATTTGCTTCAGTGGTCCTGGGGTTTGATAAGCCAAAATCGTTCCATTTAATGGTAGGAGGAAGAAGAGGTCACCTAAGCTGAAAAGCAATAAATTAGTAGGTTGGGGAGGAAGAAGAAAAAACTGGCAGGAAATTGTATATAGTGAGGCAAGTTTCCTCCTCTTTCCTTCTGCCTTTGCTGCCTTAATTTGTCGTTTTACACTAGGAAGCCCTAACTTTGTGCACAACCTCTTGGTGTACAAGCAGTTTGGTAATCTGAATTTGTAGGAATGAAGAGTTGTCAGCATCTTCCAATAAAAATGGGAATCCTGAACATACAGGCATTGGGTTAAAAAAAAAAAAATACAGGAAGGGTATCAGTGGACAGCTTAGATCTGTGTCAGGAGGAGTGCTTACAAATTGGAATAAAAAAAGCACAACTAGCTCGGGGAAGCTGATTATATTTTTATAAAACAACAGTACGGTAAAAAGAGTTTGAAAACTGTTCCCTTTGAATCTTACAGATTTCCTTTCTTTGTCCAAGTCTTAATGTTCTATATTTCATACCTTTTACATATAGGCTTTTTAGAAACCTTCTTTCCCATGGGTTCATAAATAACCCTGTGATTTAGGTCACCTTCAGTCAGATGTTGTCTGTTGTGGTGGCAATGTCTGTAACAAAAGGAAGTTTATTTTCTTGTTGGAACTGCAGATTTTTTTTATTCGGTTTCAAGTGGGAGATTTGTTTTATTCATCTGTGTTGCACAGAATTTACTTGTGCTTGTTGTTCAGTATGTATGCCACAGATGCTGAGACTTATCAGTATTCCTAATGGTGAACTGCTTCACCTATTTATGTTTATTATTAATTGGCAGTAATGGCTCATAAGAGAGATTAATCTCCAAGGAAAGCTTTCCAAAGTGGAACTCTACTGACTCGTGTAACTGCTGGCTCTTTTTGCAGGTGCCAAACCAGCTGCTTCCGTTGACCCTTGGGCAGCACCAGCAGGATCCACAGCTCAGTCTCTGTCCAAAAATGTTGACCCTTGGGCTCCTGCTCAGCCATCTTCTACTGCAGCAAAATCTTCTGTGGATCCCTGGGGACCAGCACCTGCAAACAAACCTCTCTCTACTTCTGGTGAGAAACTGTCTCATCCCATATCCGTATTATTTGAGTAATGAAGGTGAAATCCGAATGATTTTCTTGCATTGCTTGGTTAAAAGAAGCTATGTGCTGGACAATTTGCAGAACTTGTCTGTAAAGTAAATGTGAGTTGTAATAGCTAGCAGTGAAAGGAACTTCAAATGTAATTATTCTGACTTAGAGCTCTGAATTCGTGTTGCTTCTTCGTGCTCTGTCCCTTCTACATTCTTTTATTGGTATGTGTGGATGCATGCTGAGCACTTACGACTGCTGCTGCTGTTGAGTTTTTAAATGGGTTTTATCTTTAATTAGACAAGGACTTAATTTCTGGAAATGAATGATGCTGTAATTTTACCTTTCATCATGATAAATAGCTATGCAGATGGATGTCTCTTCAGATGTAGATTGACAAGGTTGAGCAGCTCCATGCTCTGAGGAGACTTTTAGAGGTGCAAATGAAGGTTCATTACTTCAGAGGGTGTGAAAGCTATCCCTAAGCCCTTGTGTAGCAAGATGCAGAAGGTGCTGATGTAATTGTCTGTTTGTGCTCTGTAACTAATGCAACCTTGATGAATCTTAATACCTGGTATTTCCATGTTGGCACCGTGGCTAAATGCATCCTAAATGCATTTTGTGCTAGTCGTTCATCACAGTACATAATAAACCAAGGAATCTGAGAGTACTGCAAAAAGTTGTCTAATCAGCTTTTCACTGGGCAAAGGGCAATAACTGGATCATTATGAGAATGATTCTTTAACTATGGTGGGTCTTTGTTCTTGATAAGAAGTATTGTTGTTGCACACAGTCTTCACTCATTTTCTCGGGTTTTTGTCTTTTTGCGCTCTTTATGGAACTAAGTCCGTACCTTCATTTGCTTGAAATGTGTTGAAGGTTAAAACTAAATTAGAAAAACATTTCAACTAATAAAAAAGAAAAAAACCAAAGCAAACTAAAGCTTTTCAGGAGTGTGATTGCTGTTCATTTGGGTGTGGTTTTTCTTCCTCCATTTTGAGGTAAGGGTGTGTCCTCATTTTGAAAATGTTATGTTTTCATTGATTGCAAACTATGGGCAAGTTCTGGTGCTTCAGCTAACAGGGCCTTACCATCTCTACATGGCGTAGATAACCTTTTCTATTGCATTCCTCCTCCTTTTTAACTTCAGAAGCTAAGTCAAGTCGTCACTTAAGTTGTAGCAATGCTACATTTGTCTTTGGAACTGTATTCAGAAGTGTATTTTACTTGAGGGCTGATTAACACGCTTTATAGTTTAGGCTGTAAATTCATTGCTGTCCTCTTCTTCCGCAGCAATATATACCTGCCTATACCTCTCTCTAGTGCAGACACTCAATAAAAACCCAGCGTGCTAAGGTGTGCCTTACATTGTGATTTAAAAGCACATTGCTCTGAATTAGTTGGCTAATACTGTAAGAAAGGACAGTTCTCTGATGTTATCCTTCTCCCTGGTCCTGGGTAAGAGTAGGAGCATTCAAGCTGATCTGAACTGCTGCCCTGGAACCTGACAGAGTGGCTTATTGGTAATGTGAATGGGTTAGAAATTGCTTTCAGTAGGATCAGGTGTGTGATGCAACCGAAGATCTGTTAATGACAGGGCTGTCTTGTTGTTTTGAACAGGAAGTACATCTTTTGACCTCTTCAGTAATTTGAATGGTACAGTTAAAGATGATTTTTCTGAATTTGACACACTTCGAACTTCCAAAAAGCCAGGTATGAATCAAATTCTTAGCACGTGGACAGTTTGGGTGATTAGTCTCAGCAACAAATGTCTCTATTCTTAAATTTTAGTTTAAAAAAAAAAAAAAATTGACTTTCACAAAGGAAAAGATTAAACCTGGTGATAATGCAGCAGTAAAAGCTTGTTGTTAACGTTTTGGCCTGTGCATGAACTTATGGGGAATGGGCCTTTTGCACTGTAAGCCACAGAATTTCACTCTGTAACCTTTCACTGCATTGACCCAGAAATTTGTTTGACTTCTAAATTTACAGTATCCAGCGTGTTTGGAGTATGGCTCGTGCTCAGTCAGTCAAACAGAACAATGTTGACTGAATTTCTAAAATGTGTAAATTCTAGTGTGTAACAATAGTAGGAAGATGAGAAAATACACTTCTATGAATGCTTTAATTTATTTTTTATTTGGTCATTAGTCACTAAAATAAAAACTGCCAGTCCTTAACGTGTAAGTGCTTTGATAGTATGTACTTTCGGGATGGTTCTGCCTGAAAGAATGGTGACTAATTCAAAGCTGGGCTAGGCTTCTTTAACACAAAAGAGAAAACCTGGGTGGAATCTAGCTAGGAAGGGTGCAGCAGTGGTGTAGAGCAAGGGCAGAAGCCAGGGCTTTTGAATATCTTTTCCTTGGAGGCTGTTAGTCCCATCTGTTGCAGCATGGCTGTGAGAATATTCATCAGGGCAAATCAGGTAGTGTCTTCAGTAGAGCACTGCAACTCTTTAACTGTAGCTGCTTCATACTCTTCTAAAGAACATTTATCTGCTTGCATGCTATAAGGGTGTAACATACTGAAACGTTTAAATCTGACTAATACAGTAGATTTTAAAACATTTCTGCTGTCAGAGACCTCAGGGTTTTCTTTGCTTGACTATGTGGATTAATGAGATAAGTTTTGTTTTTCTTTTTGTATTGTTTCAGCTGAATCAGGTTCCACTTTGCCATCTCAGCATAGCGGTACCACAAGTCCTGATCTCTTTGATTCCCAGCACTCAAGCATGCCATCAGGCAAACAAAGTGCAGCTCGGAAAACCCCTGAGTCTTTTTTGGGCCCCAATGCTGCCTTGGTGAACCTGGATTCACTGGTGTCTAAGCCGCCACAACCTGTTACTTCACTGAATCCATTCTTGGCACCAGGTCTGTTTCTGCATGTTCCTTCAGTTTTCTCTTTTAGCTTTCCCTTCCTATAGGAAAACTCTGCATAACTCAGTCCTATTTGATTTAATGTAAGCTGGTTTGGGCTTGTTTTTCATGGTTACTTCAGCCAACAGATCACGACTGAGAGCAGGAGGCTGAGGCATCATGGTTTCAAGGCATACTGCCGGACCCTGAAAGCGCAGAGTTTCTACTCTTGCGTCTGCAGCTGATCTGCTGGCTGAGCTTTGCTTAAGCAGTTCCTCTTCCACTTTTGCCCTCGCTCTCTCAAAATGATCTGTGTTAGAAGGCCCGCTTTGGGTTATTAAAAATGGCTGAGCTAAAGCCGATTGATTGTCAGAACAGGTAAGATGTGAACGTGTGCCACCAGAGAATCCCTTGGGGAGGTAACAGGTAGTACGTTCTTATGGAAGCAGGTAGGAATTGCCCTTTTGCTTGCACTACAGCAGGCACAATAGCATCTCTGACTGCAGCCTGAGGTTATACTCTGCAGTATAATTTAGTGGGTTGCTGGTTAGGCTGTCTTTAGGCTAGCATGATAAACCAGTTTTGATCAAAACACACCCTCAGCGTAGCTTGAAAAAAATAAGCTGTTGCAGTTCTCCTGTAAATTGGCCCCAGTTAGAAGTGAGCCTTTACTTACAGCAGACTTAGATGGTGACACTAAACACGTGGAAGGTGTATATATTTTTTAAAAGCTATTCATATGCACTGAAATGTCTGTGTGATGCTAGTATGGTGAAATACTTTAAAGTACTATTTCAGTATTTATTTTCTTTGCTCTTCCAATGGAAAAAAAATGTCAGTTTATTAAACTCCTTGGGTAGGAAAAAAACAGTAATTGTGAACAGCCTTGGCAGTGTTTAGCAAGAGGAAGTCTGTGTATCTGCCATTACCGGTTACTACAAAAAGTTTATAAGGGGTCACTGGGCCATCCAAATAATGCTATACATATACGGTAAAAGGAATTTGTAGTGTTGGCAGCAGTCCAAAGAACCTCAAACGCTGGGAAAGTTATTCTCTGCTTTTTCTAGCACCGCTGTAATTCGGAAACAACTGGTTTACTTTATGAATTCTTGTCAAAACTCAGTGCCAGAAACATGTACAGCTTCTAAATGGAGTTGACTAGATGAGATCTTGAAGCAAATGCACAAATCTGCAGTAGCCAGATTGCAGTAAAGGAGTACAGAGAGCCTGCAATTAGTTCTCTTCTGTAATGCAAATTTTAAGTAGCATTTAAAAAAACCCCACCACGGTGATCTGGATGTCGTGGTTAAGCGTGTTCCAGGTAACCAAATTTAGAACCTTGTCTCTCCAGTGACTACTATCAGAAGTGGAAGCTGTTGGTCAGGGAAGGGATGTCTTGTGGCATTGGTAGGTTCAAGGCAACAGCCTGTACTTGTGCACCAGTGCAGCCCCGGTTTGCTGAATGGCATCCACGCAGCTTTCTCCGCAGGGTGTTTTGGGGTTGGGAGCATGTGGGGATGGGCAGCAGGTGCGTTCTTTGCCAGAAAAGACAATCTCCTCGT